AACTTTAGCTAACACGAAAGCCACTTGTTGTCATGCTGAAATATTCATTTGACTGTAATATGATTTCTGAGGTTGCCCGAGAAGTTGAGCTAATGCTGGACATCCAGAAGAGTGAGACCAATTTATCCTTTTCATTACAGCAGGTGCAACTTTGCTGAAATCAATCTTCATTCACGTATGATGTTGCCTGAAAATATTCAGGCATCAAGAGACTATAGTTAGCACAAAAAATGTCTTAGCTTGCGTGACTGAGTGGATAGCAAGTCTTGGTTGCTAATCTTCCCTTTTTCCTAGAGCCTGAAAGGAAACCAAGTGGAATGAACAGCTGCCACATTCTACCACTCTTGCATAATGAATAGCAATGCTTTATGGGGACTTTTACTGGAGCATGATCTGCTCACATTGCTTCATTTCTAGACATGTGGAGCACAACCTATATTCTGTGGCAGTTTTCAAGAGGAAGCTACATTCTCACTTGTCTCTGTTCATGATAATCAGAATTGAATCTGCAGTTCTAGAAAATTAACATTGGAAGCAGTTTTCATTTGCAGGGAAGGAAGGAAAAAAACAGGTCCTTATTATTAAAGGGGAAGCATTATTTCTTGGTTGGAGTAGGAGTAGGAGTAAGAGGAAGAAAAGGAGGAGGAGGAGGAGGAAGAAGAAGAAGAAGAAGAAGAAGAAGAAGAAGAAGAAGAAGAAGAAGAAGAAGAAGAAGAAGAAGAAGAAGAAGAAGAAGAAGAAGAAGAAGAAGAAGAAGAAGAAGAAGAAGAAGAAGAAGAACAACCACCACCACCACCACCACCACCACCACCACCACCACCACCACCACCGCTGCAAGAAGGTACTACTATGGTCTTTAGCCTGGATATACGAATATCATCTCTGCCCTGTTTAGGTTACAATGAAGAATACTTCAGTATATAAAAGGAGAAATTCCAAATAAGAAACTATTTAATATTCAATTTATAACTCTCTATATAAATATGACAAAATACTGCACTTATGGACTATGTCTTTGCAAAAATATAGTTACATTTAATTGTGACTTTGTCTTCTTGGCAATACTGAATCAGGACACGCAAGGCTCTTCTAAAGTCTTTTGGGAGCTTGACATCATCATTGTGTTATCCATATAGAGTAAAATGGAGATAAAGCCATCTGCCAGCTTAGGACATGGACATTTGGGTTGCCAAAAGACCCACCATGGCATAGATACTATTATTAAATGAAAGGGGAGCAAGCATGCAGCCTTGTTTAAACACCCTTATATGTTGGAACAGCATTTGATAAATATCTCCTTTCATCTTCAGAGAGGTGCTGTTAAGAATCCAAATAAGAAATAATGAATGGGGATCAATCAAAGATTTCCAATGGACTATCAATGTTCTCTTTTGGAAATAGAATCAAATACTGATTGCAAGTCTGTGAAGGCTACCTGTGAGGAGATTATAGCATTTGGGATTTCTCAATAAAATGTTGGAGTATCAGGAAAGACTCATAGTAGACCAACCCTTTGTGAAACCAGCTTGTGCCTATGATATCAAATTTTCTTCATTCACCCAATCCCTTAATTTCCCTTGGAGATGCCTGGCAGGCAGGGACCTCTCTTCTACTTTTTGAAGATGGTGACTACAATTGCTGTGCGTTAATTCCTACAAACATTGCCAGATTTATCAATATGTGTAAACAGTGCTGCCAGAACAGGTACCTCCCTACCTCATTTATAAACTTTTTAATTAAAGCAGGAGGAATTAGATATCTCTACGAACATTCCATGGCTCTCAGATGAGAGATCAAGTTTGTAATCATAAAATCCTGTCATTTGTTAGCTTCAGAGCTAATGCAACATTATTAAGATTTTCATGACAATGCTGTTGATGACAGAGTTTAAATCTCCTTTATTCTTATTTCAATTGACAGAATCTCCACTATTGAAAATACTTATGTAAGCGGCAAGAATCATAGGAATATACTTAACTTTTTGTCAGGTATTAGATTTATCAGCAATCCAATGTAATGTGGAAGAATGACACTGGGTTGTTTGCTGTTGCAACAAATTTAAATAATATATTGTTCTCTAGATTCTACTAGTCTGCAGCTTCCCGGATTCCTTGCAGGTGGCCATGACATCTACAACTGATGGGAATTAAATGTCACCTATTCCTGTTATAAGTTGTTTTTAAATGTTTGAAAAACAGCAAAGAGATTAAAACAGAGTACAGTTATGAATCTTAAACCATTAAACACAGTGGAGTGTGTGTGCTGAGAGTATATTTATGGAGAGTTGTACTGACGATCACAAATCAGAAAATAAGTGCTAAGTTTAAAGAACAAACATTCCATAGATTTCAAGTGTGATGTTAAATAGGACATAATCATTTCAGTCACAATTATATGGCAACCAGGTCTTTAGGATTTTCTTTCTGGCTTCCTTTTCTAATACTTGAGGATTTTTTTTTCTCTGAAGACATTTAATCCAGAACACATTCTCCTAGCAATTACAATGAATTACTAGATTGTGAATTTATTATATTGCACATATCCCTCACAAACGGCCATATTGGCTAGGGCTTATTGTTACTGGAGTTCCTCAATACTTGGAAGATCACATATTGCCCATACTAGATTTACACATGTTCACACAGCTGGTATTAATCTAGATTCAGAACGAGGCTACCCTCCCTTTGCTGTCCAAGCAAAACTTGGTAAACTTTGAGAATTGATTGGACATTGTTAGGTTATGGCCTAAACAAAGCTCTAGCGGAAGGAGACTGTTCTAGCATTTCTCTTATGTGACACAAAATAATATAAAATGTTCTATAAAATAAGAAAAGACTGGTTTTTGATAAAGATTACTAGCCCCAAGTGCAATAGAATCCTGATTGAGTCTTGTCCTTCTCAGGTGGAACTGAAAAATTCTCTCCCTAAAATTGGATCTGACATTTACAAACAGTATTAACCCAGATCTTTACACTTATTTAAAAATATCTCAAACTAAGTCAGGCTACTAGTACATTTAGCTCAGTATTGTTTGTAGCATAGTGGGGGACTGGTGTAAAAATATCTTAAACTAAGTCAGCTATTAATCCATTGTTTTTAGTGTAATGGGGAACTGGTGGCCTACAAATGTCACTGAAGTACAATTCCCAGTTTTCCTTATTATTGTACTTTGGCAAAATTTGGCTACCCATCCTGGTCAATGTGGTTGTAAATGTCAGTTCTAGATTTCAGGTAAAGATTTTTTCAGTTCCACCTGAGAAGCATAAGACTCAATCTGGGTCCTTCTGCACTTGAGGCTAGTAATGTTTACCTAAGCCTTTACCTACTCATTCCACCTAACAGATTTAGCTTTTTAGACAGAGGGTGGAAAGCATGACTCACTATTGTTTAAGTAACCAACATGATTAATATGATCGGTATAAGACCATACTAAAATAGTTCCTTTGACAAACAAGCCCAGGTCAACTTCTATCATATTAATAAATAAACCTGGGCCTTGTGTCCTCAATCTATTTCGTCCTAGGATGCCAAACCAAATTATGAGCACCACTGTTCTTTCTTTGTCTCTAGGTAATTGTGAGCCTGTTCTGAAGCTCTTGCCTGAGGTAATTCTCTTGCAAATCAGCAAGCATCTCACTGTAATTGCAATTTATCCTTTAGTGTAGAATAAAAAATGGCCATTACTTAACGGTAAAATCTGCAAAAGAGACATTGTGAAACAAGCTCTAGTATTGATCTTTCCTGACAGGGCCAATTTCCAAGATGCTGGAAATCTAATTTTTTCTCTACTTCCAAAGAACCTCTGTCAATCTTCCTCAGCACTACTCTTCTTCCCTTCCCTTCCCTCTTTTCTTCTCTGGCCTCCCTGATTCTTTTTACTTTTATGGTTTGTGCCCTTTTCACCCAGTGCTGTTGGAGATTTTGCTGAGGAAGAAAAGAAGCTGACTTTCAAAGCAACAAATAAATAAATCAGCAAACATGCAGTAAAGGAACAGAGTTCTGTGGAACCGAAGAAGAACGCCAAAGCCATGCAAATTGATCAATCAACCCAGACCTTGAAGGGGTGACAAAGAAGGCTGATTATTGCTGTGACTCAGAAGGGAGTGGCTATCTAGTGCCCCTTCTCCTCTAAGCAAACTCCCCCTTAAAATGTGTGTGCTTGGACTTTCATGCTTCAGCCCCAGAGAAGGCTGGATGGGGCAGGACAGCTCCCACAGAGTCAGTAGTCTTAATTATCCAAATCCGCATGCCTGCGAGTGGCTGTTCATAATACTGCCTGTCTGGCATTCTGCCATCATCTGCTCATCCATTTTTCATGACTCTTCCATGCATTAATTTCTGGGTTATTCTTTATAACCCCTTTAGCTGGTAGCTTGTCAGAAGATGTTTCCCCATATTGTGACTGTAGAAAGCTGATTATGGTAATAACCTCATAAATTTTCCAGCAGGAAGTGTAAAAACTTCATCAGAAAAAAACCCAAAACAAACGGAAGATTCAGTGTTTTGGGGGAGGCTTCCCATTCCAGAGGCAAACATTTTGCCTAAATACAAAACATTCTTTATTCTGATAACTTGTAATCTAATTGTATTATTATTCCCTTCATTCCCTATCATTATATTGGCTGGGGTGATTCTAGCACTGCTGGACAAATTACCTGGTGGGCTCCAGGTTCAAGGATGTTGATAACCATTTGGCTTTTTTCATTTTTCTTGAGAGTATTTGCTGCAATTTTCTGTTATTCTGTCGATGCCACTTTTATATTGCTGATTTTACAGCGTCTATGAATGCCTGATGATGTTAATGACAATGATGTAGGGTTTTTTTTGGGAAGCTTCAGTAACATCCTCAAAGTGCTTAGGGTAAACATTATTTGATTAATAAATTGTCTCTGATCATATGAATTTGTTTTTTAATTGCTACAGTTCTTTTAAAAACCCATAACAAAACAGCCTTGCACTGTTACGGTCCTGTGTTTCTCCCATCCCCCTTTCTTTCTCAGGTATAGTACGTGCTTCCAGCGTGTTTCCCATCCTAAGCACAATCTTGCTGTTACTGGGAGGGCTCTGCGTTGGAGCTGGGAGGATTTATAGCAGCAAAAACAACATTATCCTTAGTGCTGGAATTCTTTTTGTAGCAGCAGGTAACTTCATCTTTATTTTATAGGCTTCTTTAATTGTGGGGAATGGAAAAGGTCATGTCCTCCAAATAATATCAGCAAAGGGATCTTATGATTACTGATTGGGTTCAGACTTTCACTGAGCCAATTCTGCTGGAATTGGAAAAAATGTTATTTTCTTTAGCCCTTCCCTTCCCACAGCCCCAAGTGGCACCATATAAAGTTAGCAGACTTCAGGCTGGGAAGCACAATTAGTGTTTTACAAACCTGTCTCTCTATAAAAAGGATGATTGGAGTAACGGAATAAATTACAAAGCATGGATTTAACGGAATATTACTTATTGCCATGTGGAGTCCCCATTCCCAAACACTTTTTAGAACCTCTGCTTGCGTTTATTCTTCCTGAGGGGAAGGTGGACACATTTCCAAATCAGCTCTAAGCTAAACCATCCATCAGGCTCATCGATCAAATCAGGGTATCAAGAATCAACCTTGAAAATAAAGACAACAACATAATTGACACTTCGCTTTACATAAAAATGCAAAAAAAATTATGGAGGCAATGAAAGGAGGTGTCCACTCACTTTCTAAACACCTTGATGGAAACCCAACTCCAAATTTTCACACAGCTTTTTGAATGGAATCGGAGGTTTCTAGAGAAGCAAAATAAAATCCTTCACCATGTCTCTACCATTCTCTTCCTCTAAAAACTCAAGGACAAATCATAGTTAGTACTTCTCTCTTTTTTTCCTCTTTATCAACACCTAAAAGAACAGCCCTCCTTTTTCAAGGAATGCTGATAGGTCTTCACTGAAAGGGTAACTCTAGAGCAGAGATGTCAAACTCGAGGTCCGTGGGGCTGCCCCAGAGACAGCGAGAGACCAGCCCCTGCTGTCCCGGCCCAGCTGGCTGGGTGTCCCCCCCGGGTGCATGCACAGCAAGTAGCAAGCGCAGCAACTGCAGCCCAGCAGCCCCTCAGCCACCCATTGGCTGCCACGCCCCGGGATCCCGCAGCCCCGGGATCCCGCAGTGGGTCCAAGCACCGTGGCTGCCGGGCCAGCCCTCCAAGCAACAGACAGAGGCAGAGGCATGAGGGGGGGGAGGCACATGATCTGGTCCCCTGCAGAAGCCTTGCAGAACCGAGCTATGGATTGAATCTATAGCAAAGTTCTCAGCTACAGTGGCCTTCTGGAAAGGCCTCTGACTGCAAAATGCAGGCCTGGGGATGCCACAGAAGAAGTGGGCCGGCGAGGGGAGGCCTGGCTGCAAGGTAAGTGGGTGTGAGGTGCGTATGGCAGCTCCACCCCCATCCTAGCTTGACTTTTAGGTTTGTGCCTTGCCCCAGAACTAGGGTTTATTTCGGGGGTAGGGCTTACTGTCAGGGAAACATGGTAGAATAGAATAAGAATAGAATAACAGAGTTGGAAGGAATCTTGTAGGTCATCTAGTCCAACCCCCTGCCCAAGCAGGAGTCCCTACACCATTTCTGACAGATGGCAACCCAATCTCTTCTTGAAAGCCTCTAGTGATGAAGTACTAACAACATCTGAAGGCAGTCTGTTCCATTGGTTGATTGTTCTCACTGTCAGGAAATTTCTCCTTATTTCCAGGTTGAATCTCTCCTTGATCAGCTTCCATCCGTTATTCCTTGTCTGGCCTTCAGGTGCTTTGGAAAATAGGTTGATCCCCTCCTGTCTGTGACAGCCCCTCAGATATTGGAACATTGCTATTATGTCTCCCCTGGTCCTTCTCTTCACTAGACTAGCCATGCCCATTTCCTGTAACTGTTCTTCATACGTTTTAACCTCCAGTCCCCTAATCATCCTTATTACTCTTCTCTGCACTCACTCCAGAGTCTCAACATCTTTTTTATAGTATTAAGACCAAAATTGATTGCAATATTCTAGGTGTGGTCGTCCCAAGGCTTTATAGAGTGGTATTAGTACCTCACATGATCTTGATTGAATCTTGATTGATTGACAAGACTGGAGGTAAACAGAACAGAGTTAGTGCCCTTTTGGCGTCATTTGTTGTGCTCATCTTTCTAACTAGTCTCTTGTTCAGAAGATAATGAGATCTGATTAGGTAACCCCAATCCTGTAACCTTCCAAGTGTTAACTCAGTCTCTTCCACGGACTGTTTTCAGTCATCTCTCACTCAGAAGTAAGGGCATAAATATTGCAGGGTTTTATTTTTTAATCAACAGGTATGGAGAAGAGAACTAGGGAGTAGACCAATAATAAATGTGAAGACAACCTCAATTATTACTGTTATTATAATGTGAACCCGAAAGAGACCTGGAATTTAAATTCAAGTCTCAGAGCAATAAACTTTTTGTTTTAACAAGTGAAACCTTGGAAATTAAATCTTACCTACCCAGGCTCAATCTTATTATTACAGATTTTTTTTGAGGCATAGATTGTGTGTGTGTGTGCGTGCACGCACACATGTACACTGTATGTCCCCTCCTCCGGTTGCAAGAGTCTTGAGAAACCTCCTTGGTGATCACAGGATGTCTAGCTCCTTCATAGCAGTTATTGACACATACAAAAGAATGCTATCTCTCATCATCATAAAGTAGGTGTACCCTGTATCAGGGTTTGTCCTTCTCTGAGATTTGCCACAACATTCTTTCCAAACTAAGCAGATGATTCACTGTATCCTGTGTAGTACAAGATGTATTCTACTGGATCTAAAAACAATTTAAAATAACATGAGGCACTTCCCATGATTTCACTGGAGGCACTTCCAGTGGTTTCACCTTTTATCTACCTTACGTAAGACAAGCCTTCAAACATATTGAACATACTTTAGTAACTGTTGTTATCTGTGATTTATCTCATACTATTTATTTTATTCTTGAACATTCCTAGAGTTTGTTGGAAAATATTGCCTTAAACCACATAGATAACTTAAGCAGAGTTAAAGCTCTTGATGCCCTCCAAGTATTTTGTACTTCAAGTCTAGGCAACTATTCATTTTATACATATAGTTAAGGTTCCGGTCCAACAATATAAAGCAAATAAACTCATGCTCAGAACTGCATGAAAATGAATTAGCCTACGGAGTAATTAAGAGTAAGATGCAAGTTGATGTGGCAAGAAAATTATCGTGATAATTGTCTCCTGGAGCTTTTCTCCTAACTAGATTTCTCCCCGCTATTTTCTTTCCAGGATTAAGTAACATAATAGGAATTATTGTCTACATCTCCAGCAATGCAGGCGATCCTAGTGACAAGCGGGATGAGGATAAAAAGAACCAATACAGTTACGGCTGGTCTTTTTATTTTGGAGCCTTGTCTTTTATTGTGGCGGAAACAGTTGGTGTGCTGGCTGTGAACATTTATATTGATAAAAACAAAGAGCTGAGGTTTAAGACCAAGAAGCAGTTCCTTAAGACTTCTGCTTCCCCTTACGCAAGGATGCCAAGCTACAGATACAGAAGAAGAAGGTCCAGATCCAGTTCTCGATCCACAGAACCTTCTCCGTCTAGGGACATTTCTCCAGTTGGGATGAAAATGGCAGGTTCTCTTCCGATGAATGAAATCTCCATGTACACCCTCTCCAGGGAACCTTTGAAAGTCACCACAGCAGCAAGTTACAATATAGAACAAGATGCTGGCTTTCTTCAAGTCCACAATTTCCTTCAAAAGGAATTCAAAGAGGGACTTCATATCAATATGGTCAACAGGAGAACAACACCTGTTTGAAGGGATTTGTTGGGGGTTTTTTCTGAAACAAAGCAGGGGAAGCGAAATCCAGATCCTTTATACTCTATGTGAAAAGTATGTCTTTTGAAAAGGCTCTTGTATACTTCAGGAATAAGAATCCCAGAATGAAGTTGCAGACAGAGACATAACACAATGACCTGGAGAGATGGAACAATACCTTTTTAGCTGATTTTTATAAGCTCTTTCAAAATTTGATTAAGAAAATAATGTTTAAGAAATACATACAGAAATTAAAATCAGCCATTCCAATCCCTCCACTTTTGTAGTATGTATTGTGTAATTTGTGTCCTGGAAAATATTTTAGTGGAAATAGATTTTTAAATTTTCAGTGTGGACTTTTTTCTATAACCTGGCCCTTTGGTACAATCTGAAATTCATCATAAATGCTGCCTAATGTTTATGTTTCTTTAGAGCAGAAGAAAAAGGCATGAATGAGAATGGCTGGCTGGGGAATTCTGGGAGTTGAAGTCCACAGACCTTAAAGTTGTCAAAGTTGGACACCTCTCTTTTAGAGCAAAAGTCAAACAGTGGGGGTGGGGAGAGAGCATATGGTTGGTTCCAACTTTTGAAGACCAATGAGGAGAACCATTCAAACTGGAGTTCTGCTCCTGAGCCTTAGGCATCCTTGGGAAACGATCTGGTTTCTGACTTTAAATACCCTATAATATTGCTGAGAATGTAGACGTAGGCTCCATTGACCTCTCTTCCTTGTTTACTGGATTGCCCAGTAGTTTTTGACTTTTTATGCTGCACACTCTTAAATAAAGACTGTGATTAGGTGAAGAATATCAGTTTCTTAAAAACTGCCCATCCTTTATTACTGTATATAAATGAATAGCCATCCCCAAAGGTTTGAAAAAACTTGAATTGCAAAGTCAAAATTAGGGGATGAGATGGAAGGAACTGATGCTATATATCTGTAAAGGAAGTTTCACAAATGTGTATCAGTTTAGCTAACCCTATTCTAGATTTCAAACATTTGTAAAAATAATAATAATAATAATCCAGAACTCATAACATGAATATACCTGTGTTGGTGATTGGGGAAGAGGGCCTTTACTAAACTAATCATTTGCAGCCATAATTTTCTAGGCACTTCGTCTAAAAGTAATCCTTTACTTTGAGCTGCTGTGAAATACACAAGGCACCTGTTCTAGCATGCTAAATTGTAGTGCCATCCCTTCTTACATGTTTTAAATATTGACCAGAGGTTTAGAACGAAGTTAGGAAGTACCAGTTTGACTGTGTTAATGGCAGGAATTGCAGAACTTTTTTTCTATGAAGGGCTATTGATTCCAAACAGGAACAAGCTATTAATTTAGTTCCACATTTGAATACTAATTAATTGTATTATAGGTTCTTACTTTTTATTTTATTTTTTAAATAAAGAGCAGCTTTTGAAAACTAATTATCTAATGCCTAGAAAAAGACAGTTGGGGCATTAGTTGACCAAGAAAAAAAAATACTGTAGCTCTTGCTTGAGAAGGGAGATCTGGACTCAGACATGTGCACCCTTGCTGCTTTTATTAGGGAAAAATCTCTCACATTCTTGGAAAGGCATGCAAGAGGTTGCTGGAAATTTCTATTACTACTTTTTTAAGGGGCAAAGGAACTTCCCAGAAGTACCAATAGAGGGAAGGAATGGAATTAAGTGGAAGACCTGCCTCTCTCACCCTCTGATTGGAGATTCCCCACCTCAGATTTCCTAGGTTTATAATTAATGCCAATTACATTTATCTGTTCTCTTGCAAAGCCTTAAGTTCTCTTAAAATCACTGCAGAATCCTTTTGCATTGCATTCAGTTTCTATTTCATAATGCAAGCTGAGCTGATATGAACCAATTTTAGAAATATTTGTAAAGTTAACTTTTTTTTAAAGAAAAAGCTACTTTAACTGTTCAAAAATATATTTTTAAAAGAGAGGAAAGAAGGGACTGAAATGAATGTTGGAGGATGGTGTATTTTGAGACTGCAAATCAAATTTGATTTCCAAATCAAATCAAGCTCCACTGTTTCCAGCGTTCAGTCTTCAGCCAGTACTGGCAAGACCAAAGCCTAGCAAACCAATTGCCTGTTCTTACTTTTACAGCAACTAAGGCTTCATTTAGATGTTATGGTTAATGGCCATTGATGGCTCCATGGTTCTGACAAGTTCAGGCATCAGCAATGAATGCCAACCAAACATCAAAGCCGTCCAATCAGGCCTTTCCAACACACTTAATGGCAAAGCATGATGGAAGTGCAGTTCAGCAACATCTGGAGGGCCACACATGACCCTACCATTGTAGGTCTTTTGCAAAACCATCTAAACAACTGGGTGCAACTACATTTTATGTAAAATTGATGCTAATGTCCGTTAACCCTTTTTATGTGACAAAAGAGTCTGCACGAAGGTTACATTTATTTCAAGATTTACTTTAAAACCCTAGAGAGGTTATTTGTGTCTGTATACCTGTTCATGTTCTTACAAATGATAAGTTATTTCTTCTTTGAGACGTCTTAAAATTAAAATAAAGTGTTGATAGGGGTAGTATAAAGCTATGATAAGAGTACATAAAGAACAGTTTGTGTCTGTGTCATTATTAAGTGCTTATATCTCTTTTCATTGCTGTATATTCAAGTGTGATTTTCTGAATTATGTTTTCCTACTGTGTTAATAAACTAACAGGTAGAATTTAGTTCTCATGTGTATTTGCTCTAATTAGAGTATCCATACATATCTAATGAAATTATCCCCCTTTGAAACTGAATATTGTGGGATGGCACTGTCTAAGAATTTTCTGCATTAAGATTGGGTATTTGTTGCATTGTAAAATCGAACATATTCTTCTAGTGGCTATGTTTTTGTTGATAGTTTACTAGCTCCTGCACCATTCCACATATATATAAATATATTTGTATCATGTTTTGTGCATTGATATCGCCTGGCGCTGTGCTACTTTGTATTATACATGAGAAGTAAAAAAAACAAATGTTTGTTTATCTACTGCTAATTTAAAAAAGAGTTTAATCCCCAGAATTACTCAAAATGTCATACAAACTAAGCTAGCAAAACAAGGAATGCTGCCATATATCCTTTTTTTTATATGTGAGCTATTTCTTCTCTTCCAATATAAATTGATGTGTGTCTGTCTAGAACTATTCTATGTTGAATTCAGTTGTACTTACTCTTAGATAATTATGTGTAAAATGGCAGTTTTTCCAATCTGTAATGTTTGGCCTGAATTGTCAGCTAAAAGCAAGTCTTCAAAAAAGCTTATGACAAGCTTAATTAAAACGCAGTGTTCATTGATTATTCTGAAATTTTACAAGGTTGAGTTCAAGTGCTTAGTTCTTAATCTTTGACTACAAAGCATGACTTCCTAACTCAAATACTGAGAAGAGGAGAGAAAGGGAAAATCCTTAGAGGATGGCAAAGAACATACATTATTTTTTCCATATAGTAGTATTTTGAAAAATTCAAAGACTTTTAAGTTATTATCTGCCCAAGAGGAAAAATAATTCTTTTAAGAGGTATTTGCAACAGTTCATTCTAATTTGGTCCATACAATAAAAATTATTGAGGCAAAAACAGTTTGATCGACAATCTATTTAAAAAAAAATATGTTCATTGGGTTGCCAAAAATCAGAGAAATAACTAGTATAAAATTGTCTCAGGTAGGGATATGAAAGACTATAAATTCCTCAGGAAATGAAATTGGTCATTCTATCTGACTTCACAGTGGGGTAGATGTTATTACTGAAGAAAATCTTTGCAATCAAAAATGTGCAATCATCTTCCAGAAGAAAGAATTATTGAAAGTTGCATGCAAACAGTAATAGTGACTTTTTTAAAAAAAGGCTGTATTTAAAAACCTTCCATCAAGCTTATTATAAATTGACAGGAAGGATTACTATCATTTTAAAAATGGGAAAATTGTACATGAATAGTTACTTATAAGGGACTGAGGGTAATCCTTCATATGTTATAAGAGAGGCTTATGAAACTTTTTACTTTGTTTTAATTAATGACCCTTTCTGCTTTCTTTTTTTATATAGGATATAATTTAGCCCAATTTTTAAATAAACCATTAAACTTTGATTACATGGAATAATACTAATCGCTCTTTCCTGGGATAGACAGTCAATAAACTTATTTATAAACATTTATTAAGTAAATCTGGATTCACACTTTTTTCTAACATGAAAGAATTTCTTTTGCAGCTCCTAATATTTGATAAATCCATAATTTTTGATAGTGTGATGTTCAAAGCTTTTGGTCTACAGTATAATTCAAGAATGCATTTGCACCTTTAGGTTATATTGATTTTTGTAACACCATATGAAACACATGCACATTATACCAAAACAGCAATAGAAATGGCCATAACTCTTTATCCTTATATTTCCAATATACTGATTTATACCAGCCCCTTTTAAAAAGAGAGAATTTTTAAATAGTTCAGTTAATGTTAAAGGAAGAGGCAATATTTTCTTTAAATCTTGTTAAGAACATAAAAAGCACACATAATCTTCTCTAAGAGTCTTAGCTGTTGATTTGGTCATATGAGACATTCCAACTTTTTTACTTCAGAATTCTTGCAAATAACCAATGCTCCTTTGTTTTTAAAAAGTATTTCAATCTTAGAACAATCCAAAATACATATGGACCAAAATCTAATATAAAAGGTAACATTTCACATTTAGAGCCAATCCAAATTCTTCAAGAAAAAACCTCAAATGGCTTAAAAACCTGATTGCAGGAAGCTCATCTAAATACCCCTACTTGCCTATGATTTAATAAATTCAAACTGGGATGTAAGCTTGTCATATGAATATGGGTCAAAAATTACACTCCCCCCCCAACACCTTCCAAGTTTATTTTGCAACCTTTAATGTGGGAAGTACATAAAGCATGATGGCTGAGGGATTCTGGGAGTTGACATCCACACATCTTAAAGTTGCCAAAGTTGAGATATGTTGCAAGAGAGCTATGGCTAAACATGG